TGCAGGCGTTTACTTCCCTCATGAACCGTATAAGCTCATCCTTGAATGAATCGATACTTCCCTCTCGTTGTTAAGACCTGATCTGCTCTCCCCTACCCCATCAGACCCAAACTCACCCCTGAGAGTGTTGTTGTCGACTCTCTGTGTTGTTTGGTCTGCAGGAAAAACGGGAGGAACAAGGTCGCGCCTGTTTGCATTATTCAAAGCACCTGATAGAGCATGTTTTAGTTCCGTTATAACTTGATCCTGCCGCGTGAGATGGCCTAGAATGATTGACTGTTGCTCTTACAGGATCCTCACAACATCCGCTACTTGTTCCTCGTCAGCATTATTAGGGGTTGTCTCCCGAACTTGTCGAGGGTACCGTCGGTCATGCACCGGCGTGGCGTCATTCCCCTCATTGCGGGTGTCACTGATCGAGTCCTCGAAATGAGGCTGATCCCCTCGAATTTCAGGGTTGCGTGCATCATTAACAGTGTTGTCTGCCTTTTTTGCGATTATTTCTAAGACAAAATAGTCAAAAAAATATTAGTAAAAAAGGCAAGGATCAATTTAATTGCACGACTGTCTAGGTCCCACGGTGGGCGCCAAACTGTTTACCCGTAAAACAGTAAAGTTAAATTTATACGTGATTTCTAGACAAGTGGACTAATGTGATCTTGAAATAATATAATAATTGAAGAAATACACAATACTTAATCTTAGAATGTAGATGAAATAGCAAAGATGATGATTCTGTGAATATGGTTTCCGAACACACCAATGATAAGATCTAAAAGCAAGAAAGTGAAATTGTATAAAGCTTTGTATATAATATAGTATATGTTCTTGCCAGAAAATTCGTGTCCCTTACAATGGTAATTGAGCTAACTATGTATAGCTATGCCTAGGGAAAAAGGTCCTAGGATCATGCCATCTTTTAATGTCAATTATGAGGGTCATTGATGAAGCGGTAACGTTGAGTATAAATGCCATTCTCTGTAACGGATCGTCACTCTTAATGCTGTAGAACATTCCTTAGTAAATGCTACCGGGCGCAGAGCATTTAATACACTTTTATGAACGTTATTCGTTCCGGTGACAAGCGCAGTGACTGCGTTCGGTCCTCAACCAGCCCATCTTGGATTCCACATATCCTTCTTTTAGTCAGCTACGTGTCATATTATATTTTACCCTATGCGCACACCTAAAGAAATTGAAATTTTGAAACAGAAGTTGGAAATTTCACACTTATATTGACCAAACTACTAGAAACAATTTTGGCAGATGTGAAGAATTGTCTTTCTTACTCGTGTTTATGGTCTTTCAGTCAATTTTGTCACACAACACATGTGAATTTGATGAACATATGTAAAAGTAAAACAATTTATATGAAAAAAAAGATTGAGTATACCATTTTTCTCAGTATTGCTATCAGAGACGGATCCATGATTCGAAGGTTGCGGGTGCCACCATGTTATGCATACAATATACATGTCAATAGCTACAAAGACATATTAGAAATAATGGGCCGGTTCAGTTAGTTTTTGGCTAATTTGTATAGGTCTTTCATTTACAAACCAAATAAGTTCGATTTTAGTTCAAATTTTTAACGCTTAATTTAAACACGTTCTAAATAAAAATGCAAAAGAAAAATAACATTTCATGAAAGAGCGCCTCCAATATAAATATTTGATTAAAGAGTACTTTAACTACACTATATATTCTTTGTTTGACTAGATTAGTTTACTTGTATTGTTCTTTGTTTATTTTTCCATCTTAATTGTTGAGTTATATGACAATTATTTTCAAAGAAAAACCTTCAACATTCAACCTATGATATTCGACTCAAAACAACTATCAATCAAGCCATTTAATTATTTTTCAAAACCCAATAGAAGATATTGCTCAAATTATATTCCAATATAAAAATTAATATCGTTTCATTAAAAATAAAGAAATTATATGCTAATTAAAATTAAATCAAATTACCTATAGAAAATAATTATTTATAAAGTAAGGTATAATGATATAAACAAAATGAGGACTGAAATTAAAAAAAAAATGAAGAAGAGAGACTTAAAAAGTAATAAAAGGAGAGAAAGAACCAAGAAAAGAAGGAAAAGAGGTGAGACCCTATGGCTCAACTGAAAATAAAGGAAATCTTAATAAGTAGAAAAAAGGAAAAATCAAAGGAGATGCTCCAACAAGGATTCAAACTTGCATTCATGAGGCCAAGGAAAACCTTCAAAGGGAAGGCTGAACCAATGTCACCCGCTTCCACTTTGTGACTTCTAGGTGCCACTCTATCCATTTATACGTTTTTTCACAAAGATATTATGTACATAGTAAGAATTTTAGCGAAGCGAGCGGGTGCCGTGATACCCCTACCTCGTTAGGTAAATGCGCCCCTGATCGCAGTTCATACATGAAATATAACAAGAAAAAGGAAACAAAATATTAACAAGTTTGATTTAGAGAATGATGCATGGGAATCTTGATATTAATGAACGTAAATATGAGTTTCATGATTCATCTAGATCCAAATTTTTGACACGAAACTTAAATAATATGTTAAACCCCTCTTAAATTTTAACAAATTGTAGCAGTAACGAATTCTGGATTCATAATATCAAAAGTACAACAGGTTAAGTTAATGAAATCATCAAGTTGACGTTCTAGATTTGCCTATTCATGTTTGACAAGTTAGCATTCTTTCTCACTTCACTTCACTTCACACGAGAACATTGGATTTACCCTTTACGCCGGCTTTCTGATTTGGTAAGTGGACTAACGACCAACTTGTGAGGGGAGCTTTGGCGTAAATGATAAAGTTATTGCGGTGATCAGGAGCTCAGGGGTTCAAACCGTAAAACAGTCTTTTACAGAAATGGAGAGTAAGACTGCGTGCATTAGACCTTTATTGTCCGACCCTTCCTGGCTCGCACATAGCGCGGGAGCTTAGTGCACCGGGCTGCCTTTTTCCTAACGACCAACATGGTCTGTACATGAGGTAATGGTAGTTTCATTTTTTATGGTTGAAGAGAGAAGGAAACCCTTCAGTCCAAGAAAAGGCAGCCAAAACCGAGCTCAGCTCCTGCATCATTGGACCAAGAACATATCCAAGTCCTTTTTATTCTGCTTAGAAATGCTCATGAACCAATGATTCAGCAGCAAAGATCAGCCCCAATACCACCTTTGTTTGGACAGAAAAATCTCCTTCCCCCAACGATCAATAAATATTGTAGTAGAATTATCAGGTTGGAGCTAGAAATGAGAGTTCAGAGGAGCTATTTATATAAAAAAGGACTAATATTGCTTTTAACATTACTTATTATGAAGGGTGTAACTCAGGTGGATCGGAGCCTTGGCGTAACTGGTAAAGTTGATGCCATGTGATCAGGAGGTCACGAGTTCAAGCCGTGAAAATAGCCAATGTAGGGTAAGACTGCGTACAGTAGACTCTTGTGGTTTGACCTTTTCTCGAACTCCGAACATAGCGGAAGGTTAGTGCACCGAGAGATTAGCGGGTGGAACTAGAAAGTCAGTAATTGTCCCATAATTCTTGCATGGTTTTGAGGGAAACCTTTCGTGTCTTGACTTCCTAAAGTCATTATTTAAGGTTGTCTGCCTACTCTACTGTCTAAAAGCTGTGTTGGCTCTTTCGTCACCATGTCCATACATAGATGATTACTTCAACTTCTTCTTACTTTGTATCTTTCTTTTGTCTGTCCAAAACCAGTGATATACATTGAAGGGATGATAGATCCAAAATTAGTTGATATAGACGGAGACGACGGAGCTAGAATTATTAACATAAATGCACTATTGAAAAAGTAAAAAGAGAAGTATTAAGTAGAAATTGATATATGATGACTCAATATTTAATTAGGTGCATCACATTCAATCTTTTTTGGAACATGAGTTCAACATATAGTATTAGATCGATATTACGAAATATATACATAAAATATATACTTTGGCGGAAAGATCGTGAATTCACGTGTGTCGTAAATAGAGCCTAAATCTGCGCTTGGATATAGATTATATAAATCTATATCTGTTTCGCTCTACTCTAATTTTACCATGGCATTAATCAGTGGCAAAGCTATACGCAGTAAGAGGATTCAATTGAATCTCTTTTGTCGAGAAGTTATACTACACAAATAGGATAACTTATAAAACTTTTGAATCTCCTCGAGAGATATGTACATGTTCAAATCTCATATGTGACATTTTTATATTTTTCTTACTTCATTTATTTCACCACTTGCATTAATTAACTACCGCAACACTTCTATTATCCGACTTTTGGGACCATCCCTTTTATTCCAAACTCTCATAGGCGGAGTAACCTAGTACTATATATAATGTTGATTTTTTATGGTTTGCGACAAAGACAGGCAACTAGCAGCCTTATTTGAAAATGATTTTAGATAGAGCTTTCCTTGTCTCTTTTTATTTTCTAAAATAATTATTGCTCTATATAGTAATCAACAACAATATATATCTACAGAATTCTTAAATACACTTCCTTTCAATAATGTGGTAAAAACGTGTTTGCTAAGCAATTGACATACCGTAAACTATTTGCTGGCTATATATTCTCACTTTTCCCTCTTGCATTGTTAATCCTTAATTAATTAAACTTGGATATGGGGAAAAAGAGAAAAATCATAATATCTTAATCCCAACCAAAGAAAAAATATATTTCCGTTAACTCAAAGTGCGCGTGATCTCCGTGATATAAAACTTATGAATTTGAACTTCGAAAGGAAAAAGAAAAAAAGAAGGTAGACAACTTTAGCTTTTAGGATTCGTTTTGGTACGAGGAAAAAAGAATATTTAATTAAAATTAAATTTGAGATAGTTTATTTTACGATTGGTTATGATAAAATTATAATTTTATTAACTTTTTAATATGAATGAAAATTTGATCCTCCCAAAAAAAAAAAAAGAAATTGGGGACAAATATTGCCGTAAGATTACGATCGGAAAGACGATACAAAAGGCGCTACGGGGTCGGAGATTTACTCAAGGGTAAAATCGGTAATGACAAAAGGACTTTAAAAGGAGTTACTTGAGCCATCACCATCGTCCCCCTCACTAAGGTCGGTCTCCCTGAGAAGCTAAGAGCAAAAAATGGCGACGATAAACGGCGACGTTTTGATGATAGAGGCGCCGCCGGAATCTCGACCGGCGGTGACTACAACTGCAGAAGTGATTGATGCGTTGCCATATATTGATGACGAGTATGGTGACCCCAAAATGAAAGAAGAAGTAGACCGTTTGGTTGAAGAAGAGATGCGCCGCAGCTCCAAAAAGCCCTCAGATTTTCTCAAAGACCTTCCTCCTCTTCCGAAGTTCAATTTCGAGGTTTAGTTTCTCTCCCCCTTCCGCTTTCGAATAGTTACATGTGTTTCTGCTGTTCAAATTTCAGTAGTTGTGATTTTCTAGGGTTTCTGAATCCATGTATACTTTTGTCCATGCAAACTTGGCGAATAACGGAACACAATGAAAGCAGAAGAGGAGAAAAGAATAATACTGTACAAGTAGCGTGTATACAAAGGCCATTACATGTAACTAATTATTCACTAACTAATATACTAATTAGTTATTAGACAGCTCACATTTGCTCATACAATGTAATTTTTTTTGCCAACTGACGCCATTCCTTCCCAGTTAGGTCTATCTGGTTTTTGTAAATCGGTGTAGGAATAAGTTTGAGATGTAAAGAACCTGTGGTATTAGAGTATCTAATGTATCTTAAAAGAAAATATTAAATTCCACCGGATACCTGCTACCTTCCACCTTTATAAATACCGGGTAACTTTGCCAACCAAGGCTTAGGTAGATAGGAAGAAATCACCTACTTTTTTTTGTCTTCGGTGGGATTCAAAGTTGAGACCTCATGGTTCTCCACTCGCTTCATCGACCACTAGGGAACACCCTTGGGTTGTCTAGATTCTGGAGACTCTAGTTTTGCCTTTCTTTCCCAAAGTCATGGACTTAGCTTACTCCAATTTTACTTTACTTTTTTAAAGAAATAAAAGCTGCTATATGATTTTTACTTGTGAATCATATGGTGACCGCTTGCTGAGGCCATGTTTGTTTTTTGTCTAAATGCTGAATTGGTGTTTAGAATCACCCGATGCTTGCAAGGGAATATGAGCGGGTGAGAGCTGGAAAGCCTCCGGTACAAATTAATACTTCAAGATATGGACTTGAAGTGCCACCTGTGAATAAACGGAATGATGAAACTGCATGGAAGCAAGCACTTCAAAAAGCTCAACGTTTACTGCAGCATCAAGTAATCAGGTAGCACACATGTAATCAGTGAGGAGCTAGATATCCTTCCTGCGGGGGGTAGTTTGCAGGGCCCTTCTTTAGATGTACATTAATAGAACTTCAATTTGTAGCTCTTTTTCTGTCTGGATTGTCTACAACAAAAAAAAAACGTCTTTGTCCAATTTTTTGGTTCAGATTGGTGTGAGTTATGATTACTTGGTATTAGTTATAACAATGATGCATGTATTTATACTTGTATTCATCAGAAGAAAATTTCTGTAAATTAAGTTTTCTGAAGTCTTTAAACTACACGGTCTATTAAACATGATGTCGCAACAATGCATGAGATGATTAGATAATGGACAGTGGTGTGAGAAAACGAAATCACTGCTGGATTTGAAGGAAAGATTTCCAAATTAGATTCTGCTTCAAGAACTAGTTGTGCTTGAAATCTTGTGGCTAATTGAATATGAGGCAGAGGAATCAAAGGAATATATGACATTGGCTTTCCTTTCCTTGTGAGACTTAAATTACTGTGTTTGAATCTGAATAGAACTTCTCTTTTTACTTCTATTAAACCTATATACATTTCACATTTCTTCCGTAGTTTAGAAATTGAAGTGTATAAATAAGATATAAAAAATATAGATTTCTATCTGTTCTCTCTTGGCGTCGGCAATAATCGATTTGAGGGGTTCAGTAGTATATTTTAGTGATTTAATGTGTGTGCTTTCTGGGGGAGATTTGCTCACACAATTTATGGAGAATGCAGTATCTTCTGAAGCAAGAGAGTAGCGATTTGCTGATGATGTTTTCTGATGTAGAATTATCTCGTGTGAAAACATGTTAACCATATGACTGTTAGAACCGAGGAAATGTTATTGTCTGAGATAGTTGCAACCCCAAGGAACCCAGTCTGTAACTTCAAGCGAAAAAATAAAAGAAGGGGGATAGCTTTAATTTTATCTCCCCGCTGCTTATTTTCTTTTGATTATTTTGCTATATATTTGTGTCCATGTTCATTGACCTATCTGCTGGCTAGTGACAATTTCAGTGGCATCAAAACTTTGTATAATATTCAGGTAGTCAAGAAAATTGAAAGGGTCTTTTGGAAAATGGTTTGCTGTCTTTCTTAATCAAAGATAAAGAACAAAAAAAAAAAAAAGACTGCTTGTTAGATTGCTTTTGTGAACTATTAATTGCTGTCGTATGTGGTCATCATCACTCATCCGGATCATATCAAAACAAGAACATATTTTTGTATACAGATTGGCAGTCATATTTTATTGAATTCTTTCATATCAATTTCAATTACCGTGACCATGCAGAACGTGTGTGCAATTAATAGTTAACATTAGTGCACCGGGCTGCCCTTTTATCTTGTTAGATGAAGATGAAGTATGTTTTACTTTATAGCAAATTTTACTTTTGCAGCTGTCATTAGGAATGTTATCATTTAGATGGCAGTGTGTTGAGAATCAAATTATACTATGATGTTGGAATATCCCTATTTTTTTTCAAAATTTCATGGTTGATTATTTCTTCACCCAAAAGCTCATCGTGTTTTATTGTAGGCTAGAAAATTTGGACTTAATGTCAAAGCATGGTCCAGATGTGTGGAAGCTGTACAATCAACGGCTGGAAGCGATTTTTGCCAGGTTATCTTCGTACTCTACCATCATCATGTTTCTAAACTCATATATGGCTTTAACTTAGTTTTAAAGCATCATCCCCCTCTCCGTGCCTTGTATCTTGATAGGATATTCTGTAATCGACATTATGAACTTTGTAAAGTGCAGCGATTTTAAAAGCGGAAAACATAAAAAACAACGAGGTCCACAAGGCTTGAAGTGCAAAGAGAGAAGTGAAGTGCATAATTTACGGAAGATTAAAAATACCAGACATATATGAATTTAGTACTGTAATATACAAATTTCAATTAAAATAACTAATTTCAGCATCCAATGTACAATAATGCTAGTTTTAGTCCAACTCCTCAATGTTGAGATTCAAAGGGTTGACCGCTTCTCGTTGGGACCACTTTGCGTATTATTGTTGGAAGCGCACAATTCTCTGAAGTTGATGGCTTCACCGATCGAGGAAGCAATGACTTATGATGATAGTAATGAGTAAATTGGGTTCAGTCTTGATCCAAACATGCAACACCCTGTCTCCTTGACAACAGAAGCAGGACATAGGAAAGAAAAGAACTTTTTTCATTTAGTAGGGGAAAGAAAAAAAAAAGTTGCATCAAAGAAGGAACAACAACAACAACAACCCAGTAAAATCCCACTAATGGGGTCTGGGGAGGGTAGTGTGTACGCAGACCTTACTCCTACCCCGAAGGAGTAGAGAGGCTGTTTCCGAAAGACCCTCGGCTCAAAAAAATAAAAAGACAAAATGACAAAATGACAAAATGACAAAAAGGAAACAATATTAGTATCACAACAACAGTCATAGGATAAATAGGAACACCATGAAATCCAGAAGAAAGATGCAAAGCAAAGGGAGACAATATTAGTAAATATTAGTATCACCACAACAATCATAAGAAAAATAGGAACACCATGAAATCTAGAAGAAAGATGCAAAGCAAAAG